TGGGCCTGGGGGGAGGTGGCGGCCGGAGGGGGTGCGGCCCGGATTATGTCACCTCTTCCCTCAGCGCCCCGCCCCCCGGGGCCACACGCGTCGGTGGGGAAACCGGGGAGGTGCAGGTGGGATTTCTCCCACTGCAGAGACCTCTGGCACCTCTGCTGATGGGCTGTGGTCGGGGTCTCTGTTGGCGTTGCGGGCGGTGGGCTGTTGGTGAATGGCGACCCCCCTCTCTCCAGCAGAGGCTCGTGTGTGTGCGCGTGTGTGTGTGTGTGCTCTGGGTGGTGGGGGGAGGCGCTGTCGGCCCCCTCAGTCCTGAAACACCGGCTTCATCAGAGCTAGAATCTAGGGGATGGGCCCTTTTCCCTGCCGGCGCCCACGCTGCCAAGGGAAGATATTCTCCCTTACACATCCCAACCAAGAAGTTCTGGAGATCTCTGCACCCCAAAAGCCTTACAGTGCTCCCTTTTCCTCCCTCTGTTCTTCTTCCTGGAAGCCTTTCCTGATTTTGCTGTCTGGATTCATTGCTTCTTTGCATTGCTCGTATTCCCACACATATTTGGTCTGTATTTCCTTGGTGCTGGGACAGAGACCTCAGGACTCTGCCATCTGTGCCTCTGGGGGACCTGCAGGCCAGCCATCGGTAGGCTTCAGAATGAAATCTCTCAAGGGTGTCCTAAGCCAAAAACTCCAAGATCCCCCCAGGCCAATCATAAATACTGTCCAGGGAGGCAGCATTTGGACTGGTTCTAGAAAGATGTAGGATGAACACAGAGAGCTGAGAAGAGGTCGTGTGCTGAGTGGAGAGGGGTTCAGGTCAGGGGATCAGGAGAGTCCTTGGGGACCCCATGGGGCTCTGCTCTGGTTCTGAAAGCCAAGAGGATTATTAGGCATTTTATCCAGAAGACATTTACTTAAAATTCTGCAAGGAGGAGGTGAGAACCCGAGGTGCAATAACCTGCACGAAGTTCTACCTGCATTCAGTCAAGGCAGAATTTACACTAGGAGCTGATGCCACCAGAACTCTGTCTACTGCTCTGGGTCCTGCTTGTGGAAGGATTGGGGCAGAGCAGTGACAAGATTGGCATTGCCCTTTAGAAAGCGTCCCATGGTCGCTGCTCAGGGGAGGAAGTGCAGGAGAGGAAAGGCCTGGAAGGAGACCCCAGTGAGTGTGCTGGGAGGAGAGACTGTTGAGATCTTTAGGAAGAGGAATGGGTTGGGCTTGGCACCTTTGAGACCCCTAGCTATGGGGGGGATGTAGGTGGGGAGGGACTAGGTGGTCACCGTGGGTTGGAGGGACCTCTTCTTGTAACCCCCAAGTAGGGTCCATTTGACCTCTTTGTGATTGTTAATACTGTGTGTAATGTTCAGGCACTGATGCAATGAAGGGACAGAGAGGCAGAGTCAGACAACAGGCTGTCATCCCAGGATGGTGCCTGATGCCACAAGGCTGCCATTGCAGACCACGCTGGGTCAGTTCAGGACCCTGGCCCACAGAAGCAGCTCAAACCCCTCCTCTTGGCTCAGTTTCTGTTTATCAGGAAAACATATCCCGTCCCTGTCCTGTCACCTCTCTGCTGAGGTTTTGAGGAAAAAAGCTGGAGCAGCCCAAGCTTGGGAGAGGCAGAGGGTAGAGAACACTTCCAAGAGGTTGGATAGGACAGGTTGGAATATGACATGTACAGGGCCAGCAGATGGTGTAGTGGTTATGTTGCTGGACTCCCACATGATTTGAGTCCTGGATCTGGTGGCTTGAAACTCACGCCGGGCCCATGTGTGTGTATGCTCAAATCCCAAGAAGAGAATGGATTGTGGCATGGCCATTCCCCTGGGGAGTGATTTCTCACTTTCCATCTCGCTGTGTCTGCCTCTCTCCAGCAAGTACACATGCCCTAAGGCAAAAACCTCTTAAAAAAAAGAATTATGGCATTTATGGCAAGTGATCCTTTGGAGAGCAGGGCTTCAGGGAGAGCTTCTGTGAGACAACCAGCAAGGATTCCCCAGGTAGAGACAGGGAAAGGGGGTCAGGACAGTGGTTCTGGGACCTCATGTCCATCCAGGACTTTGTGGACCTGAGCCAGGCGGGGGACTGCACACTCCCTGGGGAATTGGTGGGGCAGGGTGCTATATGAGCAGCTCAGCCGACGTCAGAGTCTCCTTTCCTGGCTGTGGGAGATGGCGGTGCCACACCCTATGGTGCCTTCCCAGACATTCTCCCTGTCCCTCATGATCCACAGGTTCCCTCCTGAAGTTTGTTCCTGCCCACACCAGGCCTCTGGTGCAGCCTCTTCTCTTGCCTTTTTTTTTTTTTTTAATTATTTTATTTAACTTTATTTATTAATTTTTAAACTTTATTTATTAATTTTTTAAATGTGACCAGAGAGGGACAGAATGAAAGAGAGAAGGAAAGTGAGAAAGCAAGCCACCAGGTCTGGGATTTGAACCACAGTCAGTCATGTGGGAGTTCAGTGCCCTTAACCACCACGCCACCTGCCGGTCCTTCTCTAGTTCTTTTGACTAGGTATTTAATCTCACTCTTGGCACTTCCTTTGGCCTATCAACAGACTCAGGTTTTTTTTGTTTTGTTTTTAAGCCACATTTAATTTTAAAATGAAACAAGTCCTTGAGTCCTGAACCTCCTTAAATCACTGCCTTCTCTGACCCTCTCCGTTAGCAGGGAACTCTGCTCTCCCCCTCCACACCACTCTAGCCCTATGGTCCTTCTGCTCCACTTTCCTGAAACCATCCTGACACGCACTTTAGTGAGACCCTGCTGCCAAATCCAGGGCATATTCTTTGATCCCAGTTTTGCCTGACCCCCTTTTTTTAAACACTGAGAGCTGCTCCCCACATCCTGAAGCTCCCCCTGCTCCCATCTTGGCCTTCCCCAGGCCTTCTTTCTGCTCCCGCACTGCCTTCTAAACTTTGGGGCCTCTGCCACCCTCACTCCATGCTGCCATCCTCCACATCACCTGTGAATGTTGATGATCCCGGTCTCCCCCATCCAGTGCCGAAAGGAAGCTGGCACTGGTCTTCCTCAAAGTACCTGTTGTCCTCAAGCAGTCTTTCCTTGTCATGTCAAGGCTGTCCAGTCCCTCCTGGTGTCCTAGGTCAGGCTCCTTCCTTGTCCCCATCACCTGACTCCATCTATAGGGGGTTTTGCTAGTTCGTTCTCCCCAAACCTTGCCAAGGCCTTCCCACTGATTTCAAGCCATTTAGCCTCCATCCTCCCAGACCCAGCTTGCTCCCTAAAGGGCACCCCAAGATGGCAACAGAAGTGGGCTGTGCTGAACGTCGTGGGATCTTTCAGGGTTGAGGTGTGGCAAGCTGTTATGCTGGGGAGTGGAGACCAAGCAGGAATTAGGATGAGGCAAGAGGGGCACCAGGCACAGCATTTAAGGGGGCATGCCCTCACTGACTGTGCACTTCCACTGTGTCCTAGGAGCCTCTCCTCACCCTCATCCTAGTCTGGCAGGTGGGGACAGCCTGGCAAAGGGAGGAGGTGGCAGTGTGCTGCTCTCCACACCTATGGGGGCAGACCTGAGGGAATGGAATGCTACACGGGCAGTGGACCGGCTTGGTGGTGAGCTTAATTCCTGGAGTGGTGGCCAGAAAGCTCCTGAAGGGCAAGAGTTTGCCAAACTGCCTCTGCAAGGACACGCATTAGTACTGGGCATCTGGGTAGAACCCTGCCAGCACTCAGTGGGGGACCAGTGGAGCCCTTAGCCTCCACCGGGGAGGAGGGCTGTCTGCCTGGCTTCTGGCTGGAGTAGGGTGTAAAGGCCTGAAGGGGCCCCCTTTCATCGCTGGCACATGTATTTGAGCATCTGATCGGCCCAGGCACTGCCTGGTGCCCCTGCCCATCTGGATTATGTGATCTCTGGAGCAGGTGTTCCTGGGTGCCGACTTCAGACAAAAGAACCAGGAGCCTGGGCCTCCCTAAGCACAGGTAACCCGAGGCCCTGCTCCCCCTGTTCTTGTGGGCTGGTCTTGGGGGAGGGGTCGCACGCCTACAGAAAGTCTGCAGGTGGAGGGGGGCACTTCATGGAGAACTGAACAAGATCAAGGTCCACAGTGGGGCGGGGAAGGGAGGGGAGGAGAGTAATCCAGGAAGTCTTCCTGGTGGCAATGAATTCCTAGCCTGGTTTGGCTGGCGCGGGATCCCCTGGGGGCCGCTGTGGTGTGGGTGGGTGGGTGGGGGGTGGGGGAGAGAGGA